ATGGTATCTGACTTTTTTCAGTTATTACCCATGTTAGAAATGTATTTATATGTACATATATACAAAAGTCGTTCGTATAACACACGTATGGATATTGACATACACCCAAGCATTGCCTTTTTAACATTTCTATGTGTATATTACTTAAATAAATGTTCTTGCTATTGTGTGTGCAAGCATGCCAGCAGCCACGATTAACGTCTTTATTTATGAATTACTTCAACGCATGGCAATTCAAGATCAAGCGATCAAGTCGTTGTTACGACGTTCAACAGCTGCAGGGGACACTCAACAAAAAGTCAAACGTCGCTACGTCTCGGACCTATAGTCAGATTCTCGCAACGCCGGCATCACCGAAAAGCAGTTAACATCGTTCAGTTTCCAGGTAGTAGCTGCTCTATGTACATCCTATCCTTACTATATTGTATTGAGAAGTTCGTGTTAACTGTGTCACCCTATACTAAAGAAGCAAAAGCAACAAACTCGTGTTTGATTGGATATTATGTCAGTGACACCTTCAAACGAAAGGCAAGGTCACCATGAAAATAAGAACCAAAATCCTGCACTCAGCGTTGTGCGCAAGAGATCAACAATAAGGTGTTGTACATATACTGTTATCACCACCAGATGTTTTGGGACAAAATAGGAATTGTCAGACACACGTTTATAGAGTTTTTGCATTATTGAATGGAGAGTGCTCTGTCCGAGTGAACCTATATATAGTCCAGCTGTGTTCTTTCATAAACAGTTTTGTAAACTGCCACAGATATACTTTGAAAGGGACACAGAGGGCACAGCCGCGGCAACTATAGTAACTCTAGATATCATTGCAAATGAAATTCTCAACTGACTTTCGTGACGCTGAATTTGCTATATTAAATCAAATAATAGGTGTTCCCAAAAGCGCGTGGGCCTCATATGCCTTGACCAAGAGACCTCTAAATGTTTGTATCCATGGCAAACGGATACGAGCAAAAATGGAGCTTGAGTGTATAATTTGCACAACTTTGTTTAGATATAACTTAGAATGTGTGGCAATACTGTTCACGTCCTTGTATGGTTTAAGTGGAAATCCCCAAGACGTCCAGCTCCCGTTGTTGTGAATTAAAACAGCTACAACATGACCTCTGATGGTCATGGTTATCAATTGCAAACGAATAAACAAATGCCAGGTCAATTGTGTGCGACAAACGCCAGACGCACAGATACTAGTATCTCATTACCATGGGTAATGAATGGCACGTCATTGAAATTTGTTTTTTCGTTTCATTTGAACCTTTTGCCTTTTTGCTTAAACGTTTTGGAAGAGTGAGGCGTATCCAGCTTTATAGATTATATCCATGTGAATAAAACCCGGCGTTTCAGGCAGCATGTGTCCCTGCTCAAACGATCATTGACCACTGGTCAAGGCGCATTTCAAAAGGCACAGTGGTACAGTTTGAACGTTGCTAACACGTCCTTCAAACTCACAATACTAATTAAAACGAGTACTTGGAAGAAAACACAGAGTATTGTCATGTTCTCCTTTTACTAACGATACAGTTAAACAAACTTTGGGACGCCATATATTTCCATTCACTGTAAATAGTGAAATAAAATGAGATGTTCAAACCCTCAAACAATTTGACAATTTTATCTGCTCTGTTTCATTTTCACAACGCTCATTGTGTATATGTTTCATCATGTGATCATACGTCAAAATTAACCAATTCCTTGATTCATGATAATATGACGACGTATTCCAATTATCCTCCTTACGTCAATGACCTTTGTCCAAACAAGAAAATAAGACGATATTTCAGGTTCACTCCATTTTTTATTAACGTTGACGTGAATTTGTTGGGCATTGACGTGTCCTTCCAGTCAAACACGACCGAGTTTAACAGTTATCTCAGTAAACAGAAGCTGTGTTCTCATCGACCTGTCATACATTCTTCAATATTGATCATTACTGTAGTCACAGAGGAAGGCGTGCAACTTGGTCCATCTAACTTCACCAGTATTATTGTGGAACATCATTAGTGTCACTTCACTACATTTTATTATGTAGACTTTTATTCATTATTTATACCTTGCTATGAGAGAGAGAGAGAGAGAGAGAGAGAGAGAGAGAGAGAGAGAGAGAGAGAGAGAGAGAGAGAGAGAGAGAGAGAGAAAGAAAGAGAGAGAGAGTAGGGCAAACATATTGATCGTGAATCAATGCATTCTTAGGACAAGCAATTAAGTGGATGTAACTGATATCGATCTATATTAGTGGGGGCAATAAATTCACAATAAACATTCATATACATAATTGCGAAAAGTTTAGCTTCTTTTGATAAGAGCTACACATTAAGTTGCAGCGACAAATAACTGAATGTTTTATCACTTTCCGTCATGCAAAGTTGCTGTTGACAAAATACATCATTGCTAATTGTTGCATTCAAGGATTTGTTTATCAAATGTTTACTTTATGTTGTTGTTTATACATGTACATCGTCTATAGAAATGTTTGAATTATAAAGACTGTTTACAATTCTGATACGATAAAATATTTGAAAGTGTATGTACAGCGTACATGATGCTATCTGTACAACTCACGTCACTCGTCCGCTACAGGGTGTGATCGAGTTGAATGTTTACGCCGCTTAAAACAGTGTTTTAGTATGATGACACCCTCGGTTTCCCAGAACACAGATGCCATAACCCTTCCAGTATTTGCCTTTTGGGCGGCATTGGTGTAACCTCTTTTACTGTTCATTGCTGTTTGGACCCAGGTGTCCTCCACTGTGTGAAATCGCTGAATAAACCTTTTCTGGATCATCTTCAAACATAACTAGATTATCACGAAACTGGTGCTTTTTGTGCTTAGTGTGATAATGGAATGTACTTTCTCAGTCATTCGCCAGTCAGTCATAACCATATTGTGGATTCTGTGATTCATTTCTGGTGTTGCTGACGTCACAGGCCTTTTAGGACGGGAACCATCTTCAAGACTATAATTACTCCGCCTAAACTCTGCTACCTGAGGCGGAATAAGAAGGGCATCCAGCCCTAGTGTTATACTCATATCTTCATGGATGGGTTTTGATGTTAAACCTTTTTATCTGCTAGTACGTGCACTGCATGTTCCTGAGGTTTGTCCATTTTTCAACGGTCACATGCCCTTTCTTATTTTACTGACTTATCACAGCGAAACAATCTGCTCAATGGACACACGTATGGTGGATATACCTCTATTACATGATGCAATGTCCACAACAATTCATATTCTCGCAATTCCTTCTATGGGATGCTCAGAATGTATCAATTAATCTCTCTTCGCATGTATTTATCTCAACTGCCAATTGAGGACCAGATACATAGATGGACTGATCAATGTTGGCATACATGGAGACTGGACACTGGGGACAGATTAATTTTCTTAGACAAATCTCAACCCTTCCCACAAACAATAAAATGGTCCACTCCTTAGATAAGTACAAAACGGATGAGCATGTCATTGAATTGTCGTTGAAGGCCCTTGTCATACCAGAGTGTCCTCAGAAACACCCTACTACTGCCTAAGGCAATAATAGAAAAAGAAGGCGATCTTTTCAAACTCCGAAAATTCATCATATAGAACAATCAAGGCGTGGTGATAACTTTCTATTTATTAGTTGGAAAGTCAATACCTCTATACTGTTTCCCAATCATGAGGATATGGAACCTAGAACAGATCATTAGTATATAATTGGAAGCTTGTGTACAGCTCATTGTTAAAAATTCTATTGCATACAGCATTTCCAATTACGCCCACATTATTTACAATGGAGGCTAAGAAGTAGAACGATATTTACCACAATGCATGGGTTAAAACGTTATGGCGTTATGGCTTGCAATTCTGTATTGACACTGTGAACATAGCTTTGTGAATAATCTTTTATATGCAGCTCAGAAATGTTTTTAAAGGACAATGTAAATATTTGCCAAATGAAACGTTGTTACAGGCAAACGCAATTCGTGCCGAATCATTTGACGCCCGATACAACTTGTGAATCAAGTTTCAACTGGTTCATGAAGTACATCAAGTACAATATCAATATTTTATTGTTACATATCAGTTACCTTGTACTCGTCGTTTCTTACAATGGAGAGAAACAGATTGACACTAAAGTATCACTAGATGGCGTAAGGGTTTAAGTTTAATTGCTTATTTAGACAGGGCCAGAAAAACGCATATATTGTTGCACTAATTTGCAAATAATTATGAACAAACTATGTTTAAATGTAGCAAATATGGTAGAACACACGAACCATAAGGTTTAATTCACAAATACCTGTTCGCTGGACATACGATGTCCTGCCAAAAAAAAGCTCAGTTCGATATTTCACCCACATAAATGGAAATTTATTAATCAGTGACTGCGAAAATATACTAAATTGGCCAAAACAATTTTGTTGCAATTTTAAGTTGACAGACGTGATAATGTTGAGCTTTTGCTAGTCTGTCATAGAGACCCTGAAACAAATATATATCATACAGCCCATGCAAGTCTATAATGTTTGGCAAATCTAGATTACTGCAGTATCATGAAAAATGAAGAAGGTCTCTGTGTTTCGTTTTATTATATCTTATTACTATATGTTAAGAACTGTTTGTTTCTGTAAAATATGTTCATTTCAGAGACTAGATGTTAGTCTAAGCTTATGCGCACAAATCTCTCTTTGTGGGGTGAGGTGAGGTGAAATTGGGTTTAACGTCACGTCCAAGATTATTGCACTTATATAGCGACGTGCATGCACGTGTATGTGTGTGTGTGGCTGCTTGTACTAGTCCGGACTGATGCCGATTTATAGTGCTAGCTCACTGAGATACCATGCCGCAGTTTAACATGAATACCCCACTCAGACACAGTATACTGACTCCGAGCCGACCAGTCCTTGTTTTAGCCCCTAAATGCCGAGCGCCAGACAGGGTAACAACAAGTACAATCTTTTAACGTCTTTTTGTATGACGCGGCCCGGGATCGAACCCTGGACCTTCCGCTTTCCGGGCGGACGCTCTACCACAAGACCACGGAGGCGGTCCTCTCTTTGTGGGGACATATGTCTTGACATACAGCTAAATTAACACGTAAACGTGACGAGTCTTGCCACGTTCTTTTTGAGGCTAATCTTTGGCCAACAACATTTGGTCGAACTTCTAGCTAGTTTACTTTATTTCATGAGACATTGTGAATGATCCAGTTGAATGTCAAGGTAACAGGTAAACAAGAACTCCACTGTGTGACACTGCGGCTCAGCTCAATAAAATGGCATTTGATAACAACTAAACGTGTCAATGTATGATTTCATTCTCAGCCTGACAATCATGTTGATGTAACTGCCATTAGTTATATTAGTGAGAGGATATATTGTACATACATCTCATGGATCAACCAACTGAAAAAGGAATTCTTGACCCAACTGATTATGTAGATGTTACGGTTCATTTAAACACACAATTATACTTATAGTGGCGTACAAGACTGATAAATAGTGAGTAGGTATATGAACACATAATGAGCTTTCTACAGATTATGACATTTTTGGAATTTAAACAAATTCAAAAAATTAAACTCAAGTAATGTAGACACTCCTATAATGTAGACACGTCTCTTAACTTCCAATACACATAAACAAAATAAGTCAGGGATCAGCTGTATCGAAACATTTGAAATTTTAACTGATCCACACAAATTAGGGGGAAATCAAATTTTGCCTCTGCTTTAAATTTTATTTTTAATTGTTTTGAACAAATTAAAATGATGTCATTGATTAGTTACTGGCAACGGTGTACTTCAATGCTGAGTAGGTTTGATGTGCGTGACTTGGCCGCCATGTTTACATTTTCTGAAGATGGTCAAACAGAGAATGAGGAGGAACTCTCCCAGTTCTGTGAGAGTCAGGATGCTGGCTCCGAGACAGATGCCCATCTGGCCTCCCAGGTTACCTGGCAACACAAAATATATACCCGTTACGATCTGTCTTTTGTATGCATGCTTTGTGTTTGTTACAACAAATTGTTTTGAAAGCCTCTTGGGAGAACAAATGTATGTACGCATCGTGCACGTAGAAGCCTATTGTCTACATATCGACTTTGATCAATACCTTGATAAAGATGAATCTCTCTGTCGTCCATCTGAATTCAGGCATGTGGCCACATACGTTGCCCAATGTAGTTGTGGTTAATGTTTGATCCTTTACCACCCCATTTGTATTGAAAGTACTGAATATACAAATGTGACTCACCTATTATGGTCTCCGTTGTATACTGTGGAGTTTGTAATGTTGCCTGAACGATCAGTTGATCATAGAACAATCTTATTTCGAGATAGTTTTCCCTGAAAATATTTTGCTTTTATTACATACTCGTTATGGTACAAGGGACAGAATACAAAGAACATTGGACGTAGTGCAATCCTGCATAATTATTAGCGTTACATGTGTGACATTGATTTTCAAAGCACAGGTGTATATGTGTACGCAGTAAATAACCGGGGATAAAACGGACACATCAACAATTCAGTCGGAATCAAAATGTGATGTAACAATTGATATTTCTTTAAGGTATAACAATAGAGTATAACAATATTAGAGTAAGGTTTTTTCTGATAACTGATAAGGTGTGTTTTCCTTTGAAAAAGGTATGACGTCATCCTCTGCCATTGTTATGCCCAACGTGATGTGACGATATTACAAAGTTATGTCAACCTATGTCATATGTCCTTCAGGCTCGCGACTTGGTGAAGACACACGGGACAAATAAGCGGTCGTAGTTGCGTGTAGACATATTTTTTTGTAAAGTACATCTTACAACCTATTACAATATGAGAGGGGTCTTTACCTGATAAAATCCTCATCTGGTGCTAACCCAAGTTTCAGGATGAATGCCATTGACACATTTGATGGGTATCTCGATGTGGATACTTTGACACTATAAGTCTCGAATGAGCATGGTACTTGACAGCCGCAGGATTTCTGAATCGTCGCATTCGTCATCAAATACCCTGACAAAAGTAAGCATACACCCTCAGGCGACGATTTAATAATTGTTCCTAAATTAAGTACAAATTGAATGAAAAACTGTTGAATACTTAAACATGACACTGTCATTGTATTTTGATTTTAATGCAGAAAAGGTCTCCATTGATCCGTGCTAAAGGTCGGTAATGTACAGTATTAGCTAGGATGTATCTGGAATTTAGATGCAGCGTAAAACAACACAATATTACTGACATCACATCTAGTAGCAGAATGAACTTACTATATTTATCTGCATAGCAGTTGGTGAAGTTATACATGGAACAAATTTGTCCAATAGTTGCTGAAAATATAAGCAAAATCGTTAAAACGAATAACAGTTCTAAATAAAAAACAATCAGAAATTTGAAACAAAATAATTATGTCGTTCTCTGTGACGTATATGAGTGAGTGAGTGAGTTTGGTTTTGCGCCGGTTTTAGCAATTTTATAGCAATTTCACTGCGGGGGACACCTGAAAAGAGCTTCACACATTGCACTCATGTCGGGAATCGAAACCGGGTCTTCGGCGTGACAAGCGAACGCTTTATAATTACTAGTATTACTAGTTTGAATTCAAATTTGTGACTACACCTACCCCATACACCCATTTGTGTACATTAGACTTACATCTGGTTATGATATTGCCATTTCGAGGGGAAAATTAACGACTCACTCACAGCTTCTTTATGCTTTGTAACATGGGTGGGATTCCATACACATTATCTATCAATCAATCATTTTGGTTAAATAATTATCAGCTTACCGTTATCTGCTGGTTTGATGCAACCACAAAGGTCGTGTGTTATCGTTGTGATGCACTCCTGGAGACAGTGTTCATATGTGTAGGTGTCGAAGTACTGCAGGGTGTTGTTAAATGACGGTGACGAAGTATCCACGCATGTTCGGCTTTTGAAGGCCTGGTAGGGTGGTGGTAGGTACTCGTACTGATAAAAATAAATAAATAAGTATCTTATTTTGTCTTAGCAATTGCAATTTGAAAACGAGTGTAGATGTTGTAGGTAGCGTGCATGACTAACATCTACTAATTTCCTTTCCAATGTAGTTCGAGGCATTGTATCCCTGTATTTTGTAGTACTGCTTTTCAAAACATGTAATGATGTAAACACCCAGAACGTGTACAAAATCGTCATTAAAAGATTATATGCTCTTTGAATTCCGACTGCATTAAGCATGAGGCGTCAACCATAGTGTGTGGCTGTTTCCTTTCATTCCCTGTTGAATTTCATTTGAGGTATGACACTGTCTGATTGAGTTCGAAAAGATTGCGATTGAAGTGTATGAACTCCGCACGTATCGCTCCACGGTGGTACAATAAAGAAAAACACCTAGAAGAAACATGCATTTCAACGAAAGTGGAATTTTCAAGATAATATGTGCTCCTGGCAGTACGTGTATGTATAAGTGACGTACCGTCGATCTGAGAACAGCAGCGTATGTTGATGTCCCTGGAGCAGCAAAGAAAGAGGATGTCGCTACATCTGGGTGGGTACGCGGATCGTGCAAGATCACCTACAGTAAGTGAAAGTACATATGAACACATTATGTTAGTACCTAGCATATGCTCAATCGATCCTTCATTAATCAGAAGTACTATAAATGTAACTTCACCATCAAACCGCAACTAAAAATACATGAACGATATTCAAACTAAACATGATAATGAAAGGGCATTACACGATGTCATTACCTCCAAAGTAAAGATATTCCGATGGTCTGTCATTGCGCACACTGTCAACGTTAACATATTTATATGTATAGGTGAACTCAACCAAGTGACGATTTTACCTGACACGTAGATCGAGTGTTTGAAGAAATGTATAAATAAAACAAACAAGACGTAATGTGATTGCCAGTAGTGCATTAAAACGGCCTTCCTATTTTTGTCTTTGTTTATTACTATGAATTATTTCACTTTGCTTACCTTTATCCCTGCTGCAAGTTGAGACCCAAGAACATAGTTGGCCTGATCAACATTGGCATATAAAATGAGATTATTATCTGAGCCAGTAACTCGCACTTTTGCTTCTTCAGAAGCATTCCAGTTGAAAGTAGCACATTGACCCATATTGGTTAAAATAGGTTTCATTGCTGAGATACAGGGCTCGTGAAGAATACCATTCATGAAACACAAGTAAAACATATTTTGGGGGGTCATGTAAACGTTTTCCCACCACTCACGGCTGTGGCTCTCCCGAAAAGTAGGCCCGTAGCCTGGATCGCTCCAATTTATGGATCCTGTCATTGGTCCTAACATGCTGACTTTTGTTAAATACGTCTCCAGATAAGGATCAACTGCTTTAATTTTGCTCAGGTTGAAAGGACTTTGATTGCAGAAGGTGACAGCTGGGAAAGGCAGTTCCTCAAGCACCTCCACCTTCGTGTTGGTGATCACTGGGTATCTGTAGTAGTTCACCAGCTCCTGTGTTATGTTATAGGTCATGAATGATGACATCGCAAGCACTGCAACCGTCCATGAAACGCTAACAAAAACAAAAACAAAACTATGATATATGAATCGAGATGCAAAGAACTCCTGAGAGATACGAGGTTGCGTTTTATTTTGTTAAACGTGCTACAAATCAAGTTATTTTATTAAACTTACACTGGACATCTTATTCACTGATGTAATAAGAGGGTAATTATAATAAGCCGAATCATTATAAGGTTTTATGATGTAATACAAAGTACTACGTACTTTGTTACAGCTGATAGTCATTAGGGCCAAACTATTCTTCAATTGTCTGCCTTACATTTCATTTACGAGATTATATACTGTGTTTTCTATGTATAGCTAAGTCACCTGCACATTTAACCCGCTCAAACTGCCTTGTGTTAGCGGAGACATTGAGTGAAACGCCCTATGAGTTCAGTCTGATGTTTTAACCTTTAGCCTGCTGAATTGTTTCAGCATTTAGCCCTGTAAAGAGGGTGGAAGATTTCTAAGAGTCGGGGCTTCTTTAAACAAGGGCCAATTGAAGAAAATAATTGCACTTGTATTCCTGATAGAAACCACACATTATCATTTAAAAATATCTTGATGTTTTCAATCATACAAAGGTTAAGACAAAAGCGAACACAAAATGTGTACAAAAATGAACTTACCTGAATTACGTTATTGGAGCCTGTTAAATCGTGACATTTGTGCAAATTGAAATTCAATAATCATATCTCCGATATCTTAATTTAACTGAGCATAAATGGCCAATTATGAACCATGTCAGTATTTTCTTTATCCGAACGCTAAACAGAAAAAAACCCTTAATTTTCGAGGTCATCATGTCAGTTGCAGAAATACGAACATTTGCGTTAATCTAACGTGTCATGTTGTAAAATTTGCAAGAAACAATAAATGACTTTTAAATATTCACCAATCCTAATTTCAAGTGTTTTGCTTGGATATTTACGATATACGAAAATACACATCCTTGTCATATTGCTAGCAGACGTACGAAAAAATCGAACATGGCCACTTCGCCCGGCCTCAGCATGACGTATTACTATTTTAATATCGACAAAGTTTACATTGCCTCACACACACACACACACACACACACATACACACGCACGCACGCACGCACGCACACGCACGCACGCACGCTCGTACGCACGCACACACACACACATATATATATATATATATATATATGCCTTGGCAAAAGATTACGATCTTCTCTATCGAAAAATGTTTTATTTGTCATTTTCGTTTAATATGACGAGAGAAAAACGAAAATAAGGATCTTCAATTCTGATAGCAATATTTCAGTAAATGCAAAGGTCACCGGATGTGATGTCACAGACATGAACAGTCTGCTGATAGTCTTTGTAACAAAACAATAACAGTAAATTTTGAAATATTTCGCCTGTCACATAAATGATAGACACAAATCAATACATAGTATCAGTAATCACAACTAATATGAAATAACAATGTGACTTTGACCATATAATTGGCGTATTATTTAATCCGTTTGACCTTGCATGCTCCCGTGACCCAGAAACGGTAGACGATGATGAATCAACATGTTCTGTACATACGCGATTTCGCGGATTGTTTCCTAGGTTAAATGTCACCACTATTTGACAATGATTCATCAACACATTCTCATGAAAAGTTCGGAATCGTACAATGTCGCATAAATTTATGGCACGTACTTGATCGGCAAGCATTTCTCATTAACTAGTACAATGATAACGGTAACTATTTTAGTCAAAATAATTAGGAAAGCGCAAGGCTCAGGAACGGCTGAGTATAGGAAAAGGATTAATACTTTCGCAAGTTATATAATCGTCAAATACGCAACGAATATCCACCTGAATAATTTGCCAGCTTTTAAAACTTATTTTTGTAGAACGAGATCTTGGTGTATATTGCCAGATATTATAGGCATATATATTATTCCGATATTGATTGGAATTAAGGGAATTGTTTATTAATAGGTTTAAGGTTCGTCCGCCTTCTAATTGACGGGATTCCATTTTTTCATTTGTACATGACACTTAATCAGTGTCATGTTATTGTGAACACATTTCTTTAAAATTCCAACTGGTGATGTCTATTCAGACTAATGCTTAGTCTCTAAAACTATATAATTTTGATAGAAACAAATAACTCCATTTTAAATGAAGAGGAGTCCCAGTGAGATGGGAGATTCCGAGATGAACCTGAGGAAAATCTAGCCTTGCTTCATTGAGGGGTTTTGCATAAAAGAAAGGGCTAAGCGAAAGAGAAAATGATATTGCTCAGGTATTTTGAGACAGTCTAGTGTCTATTCTATGAATATCTGGGCTGCCACCCAAACCGATTCAAATGGAACCCGAAAGCTTATTGTATGCTATATAGTCATATGGAAGTGGACCAGAATTGTCCATTGTATTCCGCACGATTGTGTTCTTGCATTAACTTTTAAGTCAGGAAAAAATACTTAAAAGGAGAGTTGTTGAATTTAATTATAAAATGCTGCCATTACACTACTCTGGGAGGACTACTCATTGTTCTATTTATGTCATCTTATATATATAACATTTAATCCGCTCTGTGGATATTCAGGGTGACAAAAAGGCCCCAATGTACCTGGGAATCTTGTGAATTGGCTACCTAAAGAGAATCATAGTTCATATGCTAGTCCATCAACAAATACCGTCCCGCTCAAGGTGACCTTACTTTATGTTAAATCCATCAACTTTCCCACCCACTCTCGGCCCCTTCGCCCCTCACACCCCACATCACACGCACGAACGCACGCACGCGCACGCGCGCACACACACATGCGCACTCACGCACGCACACACACGCACGCACGCACGCACACACACACTACAGCCCTGGGCAGGAAATACTGCTGATTTGATGTAACGCTCTGCGGCAATCACGACAAAATATGAAACATAGGAGTGAAGACTGCTACCCAGGGCAATGAATAGTAAACAGGTGATGACATATACTAAATTATGTAATATCTTTTGAAGTTGAATCGATTTCAGAATCGTTTTGATGGTAGCCAACAACTTTTGCAAATATTGCCTCGACGTGTGACATGCGATACGTGCTTCCAGGTTTCAGAAATGACATATAAAATAGCAAATATTTTTATTTTTCGAAATTATTTTATAATTACTATTGAATGGTTTACCTAGAATGTATGCCAGTTCAGATTTTGCGTATCATCCAATATTTTCATTCGCAGTGCTTGTTGACTTCGTCACTTCGCTGATCAACAGAAAACATTTGCAAACTCGATAAAAAATAGATATTTTTTACAAAGATTTATAGATCCGTGCAAATAATTCTATAAAAAACAAATTAGATATATAAAAAGGACTGTAATAGTATTATGGGATCACGATGCATGTGGAGTTGTTTCTTTACCGCCGTTGCTATTGATCGTACAACTTTCATCCAAGCGATGATGTGACGATTCAGATTGTTTTTGTTTTAATTATAATTAATTATACCGAAAGTTGAAATTTTTGAGAAATTAAGGAACTTGAGTGATTTCTCTTCACCAGGTAACAAAAACTTATCGAATGTGAAAAATGATAAAATGAAAAAGAAAATCGGACTGCATGCCGCCCAACGTGAAGTGCTAAATTCTGGTGGTTGTGTGTCGAAAAATTTGGCAGATACTTTTTTAACTCGCGATGTGTTCCATTTTAGGTAAATAAACTACCGAACGGTTTCATATTATACGTAACTTAAAATATACACAAAGCCTACTCGTTAAACAGTTATTGCGAGTTTCAGGTTTTCATGATCATTTGGAGGCGTCCTTCGCCTATGCGTCTGCCGACTGAGCTCGACAGTAGCATTGAGAGCTTTAGAAGATCGTCAATCTGATCTACGGAAACTAGTCCTGAACACATATTTTTGAGCTGTCTGTAGTTTCGAATTTGAATTGAAAGTTTGAAGTGAAGGTACTTAAGGTACATAAGCTAATATGAAGTGGTTATCTCCAGAGAAACGAAAGCAAGCCTTTCAGTGTGTGAGTCAGTTGGGTTTAATGCATGTGTGTGTGTGTGTGTGTGTGTGTGTGTGTGTGTGTGTGTGTGTATCCGCTCCCTGCATTTGTCACATGGAAGGAGAACGAAATGTATTATGAGTGTAATTAATGTTCTTCGTCTGAAGCAATATGAAAAATTATGAAAGTACTTGCCCCTCGAGATTTACAGAAGAATTGTATACACACAAGAATTGTGTTATCAGATGTAAATGAATTCCTAATCGAATCACTAAGTCTAAGGCAGTGTTCAAAATAGCTGCCTGCCCAATAGCCAAATACCATTGACTTTTACATTTCTATTAACATTTGGGAAAGCTGGAGCAACTGTATTTGAAATTTCTAGTCAATTCATATTTATTTCTACGAATCAGCAAGTCAGTTTAGGTGTCATTTAATATTAATGTTGTCATTTAATTTGTTGTTTTCATTTCGTAATTTATTGGAAACTCGCGCGAAGTGGTAAACTGGGTTTTGGCTGGACTGATGCGAAATAAGTGAAACATTTGAAAGCCACACCAAACGTCAGACAAACGTATAATTCAAAGCAGTCAAGAAGCTTCACATGTACAGCTGTTTCGCGTAATGGTAAACCACAAAATGCATTGAGGTTCAATATGTACCCATGATGCAGGCTAGTAAAATACGATGAGTGTTTTGCAATATATTTCCGATTTACAAGCCCTCCGGGCAAGTGAACTTGGCAAAGAAATTCATATCTAAACTAGGGTACATAAAAGGTGAATAAAACTAAATTATATAACATATATTCGACAAAAGACAGCCTAAACACATATTTTGAGAGATGGCTGCCCATATCTCTACTTAATGTATCTTACAAAATAGGATAAGTCACAATCGCAAATTAAATATAACACTGTTCTTCCCACAATAGCATAACTGATATCAACATGTAAGAGAACTAATGAAAATGTTGACTGACAGAGACCTAACCCAGCAATGTTTCAAATTTATAAACCAGACAAAAAGAGTAGAAATGATATTTAACAACCTATGTTCATATTGCAAAGGCGAAAGAGAGAGAGACACGATTGCACCCACTTTTGGAATGCACATAAAAACATTATAGAATAAACTGGAAAAGAGACTGTTTGCAAATGTAGAATTAAGGAACGATGTACTGACCCTCATCAAAAACGTTGACTAAATACATAATTATTAATAGACACTATTTCAATATTGTACCTGCATGTACTTTTCATTACATACATGTACCTCAAGGGTAGATTATTGACCCACAAGTTATAGAAATATCTAGCATATTGCCACCTTAAACGCACACATTTGTGATTTGCTGATCTACCAGTCCTGTCATCACCTATGAAAATGCACCAGCAGAGTTTCTGTTCCTATGTATACAGTATCTCATATTGTCACACATCAGACAATGCATGCTATGCACATTTACTTGGATACATGCCTACAATGTGGCAATGTCACCATTGGAAATATGAATGTAAAATACAAAAACAATTTGATAAAGATTTTGTGAAAATAGAGTACATATATACTATTAATGAGTAATCTGAACATTACAAAAACAAAAATAAAGTAAAATAAGATAAACAAAATGGATGTGAAATGGCATCACTCACTTTCTGCACCAGTAAATATGTTCATAATAAAAGCTGCATTTGTCACAATGAAAGACAATGTTACCACACAATGTTCAACTCACCATCTAATCCGGTAGTTACGTCCAGGTGTGAGTTTATTGACTCCATGGAATCCTGTGTTCTGTGTGAAATCAGTCCACAAACTGCCTAAATTCTCATTAGTAGATGAGGGTTCATCTGTCCACGCTACTTTGGATTCTGGTTTGGACGACATGTTACAGAAATGTAACAAGATGATATACCGAGACACTCACTTTTCTCGACTGCAAAATCACTCGTGTGGCTTTGTCAGTAGTAAATTAACCTGGTCTAGCAAACATTATCACAGTGCACTGTATTTGTATCGATCGCAATATATGTGAGTGGTCGTCCGTTTTTACTCAGATGAATACTTGGTATTGTCACCAGTGAATGGATCAAAGGACCAGTGACTGTAGCGCCGCCCTATTCATCGCTGCCCGACATTGCTCGGTGACTTCATGTTCATTAGCGTATTGTAAGAGAATTTATTGTGCATATAATTCATGCTCTGGCTGTTTAATCTCATTAATTATCATGTATTCCTATGTGTAGGCAACCTTATGTATGTATTGAAAGTGTTTTAGTAACTTTGATTTGTGGCGTGATAATCTAGTACAATGTACATGTTTCTCATGTATTTAAGGTAATTCTTCCCACCTTACCCCACGGTACCTAGTATGGTGACCTACCTTTGGCTATTGGTGATCTATAGCCCATTTTTATTGTGCACTGTTATGAATTGTTACGAATTTTATTATGATATGCTAGTTTTACAGTCTACACCTGTGATAGTCTAGTGTTATTTACTGTCCTTTGTCGACATATTTTAATGTCTATACTTATGTATTATTAATGTCCAACTTGATTTAGTCACGATATGGCTGAAATATTGCCGATGTGACTTTAAATCTTAACTCACTCATTCACTCACTTGCCACCTTACTAATTGTACATATCTGGTTGTAAATGTTTGATGGTACCTTTGAGTGGCTTATGTTCAGCTCTTTATTTTGGTAACAACTGGTTTAGTAGTTAGTTTGCTACTCGTGTTTTGCTTATTTTAGAAAGCACAATTCTGGTAGCTCACCGGACTTTACCGTTCTCCCGACTATCAAGGCCAGGTTGTCGTTCTTTAGGATTCTCGAAGCTACCGAGCGTAACTATCTCCAGGCATTGCTATTTGCTATAAATCATTCGGGCTGTTCTAGATCTGGTACTGCGTGGTCAGGTCGCAACTTGGTTTCGCTAGTAAGTAACTATGGGGCGATTTTGACCTGGTACTTACTTACTTTTAGTGTTCCTGAACTAAACTTATTGGCTAGGGTGCTTTACATTTATACCACTTTTTCTAGCAATCCGTGAATAAACCAATTTTCCCGTGATTGCCTAGTTTAGGTCAAGTGCTTTTTATATGATCGAGAGCCAAGTTGCTCTTAAGGGCAAATACCTCTTTATTGTTGTGAGGCTATTTACCAAAGCCGAGGATATATACTCAATAGAGTGCTGAGTAATTAACTCACAGGTGTTAATTCGTCACAGCCTGCTTTATTGGCAAAGGGCGACAAAATAGGGATCGGGTCGTAAGCCTGAATGCATGTTATCGTACTTCGCAGTCGGAACGTCCCTTGGCGGCTTGTCTTGACTCGATTACTTATTGGAATATAGTTCAAATATTACTCGCTATATAAAACGCACATAAACTGTAAAATAATGAGGACAACACGTGCATTTGTCCGTTCAACTTATGAATGCCTGTCAAAGACTTAACTTTGATAAAGTTCAAATATAGAGACCTCCCTTGTATTTGTGTTGCTTATACATGTTAGATATTAAGTTCCCTCGAGTTATTAGTTTTCTTTGGGACAGTATTAAACCAGATAAGCCGTCGGGCCTTTATTGTATCGCCCCTCCCGTATATAAGCTTTATGCAGAACGTACTCTTGGAGAAAATCCAGAATTGGAGTTCATACTGCAGCGTTGGTGCGCCCAACGGAAGTTCAAATACCTGATTCGCTGTCACGCTGTGCATACAGAAGCTGGTTACGTGACATGTGATTTGATCCGATGGCTGTTAACAACTTGGACTGACGCCATGGCAACTTATAACTTATACCTGTGCAGATTTATAATACCCTCTATGTCTTTACATCGGGCCAGCCGTTCTTTTATAGCACTGACTATTTACTGTCAGGGCTGCTAAATTTTGTATATTCGCCTGTTTGGATGTACTCAGGTCGTGTGAGTCCAACTTTTAATTGCTTTTAAACCCTAATGCTTCAGCTTGTGGTTATTGTCTAGTGTTAATACATCCACTTTCAGATGGATAATTTGTGTCAATGTGCCACAATGCAGTCATTCTATTGATCAATGTTTCTAGTTCACGCGTGAGTACTCGGTGCTCTCGTAAAACTCGTTAAACAATTACGAGTAGTCCATTTCTCTGTAGGTGAGGCGTTACTCTAGATCTAGATTTAGCGTTGATCCTATCGTTAGTTAAAAACCGTGACACAAAACACACTGTTGACTGATCACAGCACGACGACATCTGCCGAAGCCCACGACGTAATTAATATCTGACTGTTTACACCAGACGGGTATCAATAGAAACGAGGTTTGTACATGAGTGATATTGTATGTTTAATAACATTAGTGCCACATCATCATTTACCCCATGGATCCATTCAAATGGAGATATGACATATGCGGGTAATCACCAGCATTGAATGCGGTTAACTTGTTTTCTATGCTCGCATACTACTAATGAACAAGTGTGAATAACTTTGCTTCACATAGCAAACCAGCTGTCAAGACACACACACCCGCCTAGCTCTAATGCTTATTCAGGTGACATAAAACTATCACACCTCCATTCTAATTGTTATACATGTACATTTCAAAATAAATACTAGTAATGTTAAGAGCATTGTTAAATGAATTGTTAATATCCTGATGTATGGATATACATTGATATTAGTGTGCTCCTTCAACATTTTGCTCATGTTTTCTTTTTTGAAAGACATTTGTTCATATGTGTGTTGATTTTAGTACTTGAACATGCGACTGTTCCAAGTCAGTTTCAAGCCATATTTAACATTTCTCTTTTTCGAAGTGATGTAATTCGTGAGTGATTCCACATTGTGGTATCAAACATGAAGAGAATGGAAGTGATTGTTTCGTCAGTATCATGGTAGGCCCTAAAACCTGGTGGCGTTGGATGAAAAAATACTTGAAAACGACCAGGAAGCATCTACTCCCCATCTATTGTACTCAACGATACCCTTTATGATGTTTCGGAAGATGAAGCTAATATTCGAAATAATAAAAAAATTAATATCCTGCCAACGATTTATTCGCGTAACTCATTTATCATCAATAACGAATTCCTCATGTAGATATTATCGACATTCTTCTTTCAATTGATGTCCCAAAAGCAACGGGGTCTGATAATTTCAAATAAAAATCTTCTAACAAATTTGCAGTCTGACTTTATCTTGAACATCAAATCAGTTAACATATTTGTATAACATCATTGCTAAGGCTTTAGATGAAGGAAATGAAATCCGGGCTGTCTTTTGTGATATCAGTAAAGCCTTTGATGACGTCTGGCACAAAGGAATAACTTGTAAATTGAACTCATAAGATATTAACGGAAACCTGCTAGATTGGTTTCAAAATTATCTGGTGCACCTAATCCAGAAAGTAGTTTTAAATGGCTGTAATTCAATCTAAAATCGGTTTTAGCAGGAGTTCCCCAGGGCTCAGTCCTTGGACCGTTGTTGTTCCTTGTTTACATCAATGATATTGTTGAAGGTATTGATAGTTATATACGTCTTTTTGTAGCCGATACTATATATATTATATATGTTATTGTTAATGACCCTAATGAAGAATAGTCTCAGAAACTGTAATAATTTGCAAAACATTAATTGCAGAACATATACTACGCTAAATCCTGTTTACCCGACATGGTCAAGATTTGGAATTCGATTCCAGAGGAATACAGATCTGCTCGTTCTCAAATTATATAGGTTTTAGACTTTGATATCAGAGCCAATAGTTTCCGATGATCGCTACGATCTGAATCTTAGTACTTGTATGTGCCCAGTTATTCATCGTCGCCTCAGACTTGAATGTAGTGATTTCAACTTACTTCATGGGGCTAAAGGTATTACAACAGGAAGTCATATACATATTTTACTTTTAAATTTTTAGTGTTCATGATTATGCACAGGAATGTAGTTTATTAGATCTTTATTTATTTATGCTGCACACGTCCAAACGTCGCCGGTCCTAATACATTCTTTCCCGGAGCATCTTTTAAATACTAGTAATTCAATTGACGTCAATAAAGATTCAATAAAGACTTGTTGTGCAGGGGGTCAAAGCGGGTTGTGCCCCCTTTTCCTGTAGTTTCAAGCATTGGGGCCGAAATCAAGCATGTGAAATGAAACCACGAAGCGGGCAAATAAAGCGCACTTGTCAAGGTGTACATCATGTTGTTGATGTCGCACTTTCAGCAGGATTTATTATTCACACAAAACCCGGAGAGAGCAGGATCAAGAGGTTTGATGCAAAAAGAGAAAACATGCCTATGCCTTCCTCGTTCATGACTGTTATCCACATTATCCTTTCAGGATCATTCGTTCGTTCTCATGATCATAAACTAAACGTCTGACGCCGTTTTCAGTACGCGCCATCTGGGTCCATTTCTCACCAATCGATATCTTGCTGATCTGGCAAGTGTCCGACACCTCTTCGTTCCTTTCAATTCATATCTGTATCCGTTCAGACATGGTTTGAGTGCACCACACCAACGCTCATAAGTGACAGTGAAGGAGTAAACCTCGACAACTGTGTAACTTTCAGCTTTCCTCCCACAGGCGTCAAATCCAACTCACACACTTTGCAGTGCTTATGTATATTTAGTGGGAAAAGAGTTCAACCAGAAACCTCAATCAGATGTGTAGATTATCATAGATTGCGATAACTTGCGTCAAACGCCACGCGCACACTTTGCAGTGCTCGGCATGGCCTGTATGTAAATTTAGTGCAAAACGAGTTCAACTAGAAACCTCAGTTAGATGGGTAGAGGTGCATAGATTGCGAGAACTTGCGAACAAATATGGAAATTAGTAAAATCCGAATTGAGATTGATAATTACTACCAAAAGAGGCAGGATTGATGTAAAGTTCTTTTTTAACCAACGCAAGAAAAGGGCCAGAAAATCCTCTCTCATTTATCATAAACCGTAGCCAATTTTAAACTTAAGCAT